TTGATCCAAAAGCATCGATCCCATTCAATAAAGATCAACCAACAGTTTAGAATTTTAAATATTTGTTCCAAACAATAGATTTAGTATATTAATACCTTCAAAGACTCTTCAACTTTTACCATTCACTTTTTGCTCTTAATTATGCATTTATTTTAGAAAAAAAACTAATGATCAACTCAGCGTTTTTTTTTTACTTCAAAATATTTAAATATAACTTAATAAAATACATTTATATATAATTTTTATTTTAAATCATTATTCAAAAAGAAATTCTCCTTTAGATAAATGAAAATATCTCTATTCTAATGAACAATTCATTTATTCGACATCGAGTCAATTTTTTTAGTTCAGTATAAAACAGATAAACTCAGTGAAAAAGATTCTTATAATCTATTTCATCGTATGAAAAATTTATCTGAAAATATTTCTATGCTACTTCAGCGTACATCTTTCAATGAAAGACAGAATATAAACTCGAAGGTATTCATTGTCATCCGGTGGTAGTAGCTGTTTTAGAAGCCATTACAAAACTGTATGAATTGGCGCAAATATGTTAGTACTCACAAATATGACATTCCGAAACTCAATGAATCACATGAATTAGTAATAAGAAGTAAGTACAACTTTGGTCAAAAGTTAAAAAGAAAATGTAAATTTTTGAAAGAAAAACTTCAATGATGCTGAGTAAAAATATCATTATTATATAATCTAATATTGATTTGAGGGTAAACGTGAGACTATATGTTTTATGAAGTAAAATGATCAACTTGCTCTTTTTAATTACAAAATTATCATGATAAATAAATTTTCATATTTATCAAAACTGGTCAAATATTTGGAATTCGATAAATTGTGTGAAAGCAGAGAAAAAAACTTGTTGGTACATCGAGGCAGAATGATAAATCAATAAGAGCATTAATAAGTGAAATGAACTCGTTGTATAATCGAAATAATGATTATTTCATTACAGCATCTTTTTTTGTCAACAATATATAATTAGTTATAGGAAAAGAAAATTAAAAAATATTATTTAAGGTCGATAACACAAATATTTTTCAACATATTTTTCCTTGCCTTTCATTTTTTTGTCTTACCAGCTTTTTGAATCAATTTAATGTTCAATTTTATAGAATTCCAGCTTTGTTGCTTATATTTATAGAATCAGTGGTGAATCTATGATTGTTATGATGTGAAATACTTTGAAGGTGAAGGGAAATAAACATAATCAAAAATCATGTTTTTCAAGTCTATTAAAGATAGTATCAGTTTACTATTAGGCCGCTTCTGGTAGAAGAAATCGGAAAAAAATTGAAATAGAACCGATACCCGTCCCCTTCAGGGATTGTCGAAACAAATTTTTCTTCTTGATTATGATTTTTCAAAAAAGAATACTTAGTTTACAAATATGATGAGATTATCAAAACTTTAGTTGAAACTAAAAATCTCGAAAGAACAAAATTAAAAATAAGAAGTACTGGAAACTTTGAAATAAAAATATTAATGATAGAAATGTTGAAAGTAAACTGTCGATAGAAACATGTCGAAAAGTGATCTGAAGACTTTTGAATATTTTCTCATTTAGAACATAAAAAACAAGCAGATAAATTTGAATCAAATGTTTATTTTTGACAAAGGAAGAATAAAAGATAAGCATAAATACTTTGAAATATTAGTGTTATCGATCTTAAATAATATTTTTTAATTTTCTTTTCCTATAACTAAAGACTGCCTGTTGAAAAGATCAGATGCTCTAATAAAATAATTATTATATTGATTATACAATGTGTTTATCAAATTTTGTAATGCTGTTCTTCATTTGTTTTTTAACTTCGATACACAAGAAGTTCATTGAAGTGTAATATTCTGTATAGATTTTTCTTCCATTTTGAAAAAGGTAAACAAATATCCACACATTTGAGTGATTTCGATAAATATCAGAATTCATTTTATTATAATAACCTGCAATTAAAACCAGCAAGTTGATCGTTTTATTCATCAAACATATATACTGCAAATTTAACGCTCAAGTTAATATTGACAGTACAACAATGACATCTTCATTTTTATTCAACATCTTTTAAAACAATCATTATTTAACAAATTTACGTTTTACTTCGATAAATTTTCTTTTCAAGCATTTTCCATTTTCTATATTTTTTTACTTCCTACATTTTACTCGGAATATTTTTAGTTTTGACAGAAGTTAAATTTACCTATGATGGATAACTTAATCTTAATCGAAACTGTGTTAGCAATTATCTGATGTGGCTGCAATACTGTACCTTTAATCAACTTCTTATTTCCTGCATTACTTTAAAAAGTGTACTTATTGTAAAAGTATTCTCGTTCTCAAGAGTCTAGATTCTCAATCAAATTTAATTGTGCCATTTTTTGTTCACATTGATTCATCAATAGCTTGATTAAGTAAATTAAAATATTGAAAGAAATAATTATCGATAATATCAATATTAACAAACAAACTATCTGTTGATTTTCTGTTATTTGAATAATCAAAGTCGAGAATAATTTTTCAAGTGAACAAGGCAACAAAATATCCAGTTTTTGTAAATACTACAGGCACTGATAAAAATTTTTGCTCTTTCGATACAAATTTGTCAATAAATTACTTAATTACAAATAAATTTATTCTAAAATGATAATATATAAGATCTCTCTTGTTTATTTACAAATAGTCAAATAATCTATTAATTTTTTATATAAAAAAGAATCTTCGGCATATATTTGCTTTATCTTTGATCATAATTTAGCATACCATATTTTGAAATTTGAGAAATAACAATCATAATATCGTTCCACTTTCATTGCATTACATAGAGATCTTGAATAAAGTGCGCTATATCCTTATATGTTTTTTTTCCTAGGAATATATGTTTACATAATATTGTATGGTACAGTATTAAAATAGAATAATTGACTACATAACATACAAGTTTTTTTATTTTTACTTTTTTAAGACAAAAAGAAAAAGAGAATAATAATGATAGATAAGAAAAAATGCATATAGATAAGACCAAATTGACCAGCCAGTTAATTTTTCACTACAAAAAAAAAACAAACAAAGGCAATGATTATAATATAACAAAAAATATTTACTGTATGTAATCATATCAACTTCATCAGGCATTTCAGTAATTTGTACTCCAAAACGACTTTGAACTTCATTAAGAATTTTTGCATCACTTCCATCTGCAACAAATGTTATTACTAAACATTTTGCACCAACTCCACCATCACGGGCAATCTAATATTAAATATTTTAATAAATAAAAACAAATTTTCTTTCGAACATACTCGATCAAGATAAGTATCTGTATTTTCTGGCATATCATAATTAAATACAATATTAGCACGTGCAACATTCATACCACATTCAAATAATTTTGTTGCAACGACAATACGTGTTTGACCTTCTTTAAATTTTTTATAATGTGCCAAACTAAACAAATATAATTATTTAAGTTTTCTATTATTTCAATTAAAAATAAGCAAACCGTTCGTTTTCTGGTATACCAGGATGAATTTCAACAGCAGGTAAATTATTTTTATTCAATGATTTGCATAAACGTTTGCAACTTGATGCAGATTTACGAAAAATAACAGCTTGTTTGAATGGTACAACACTCAGTAAACGAAATAATTTTTTTTTTATCATCATTATTTAAAGTAACGTAATATTGTTGAACACCATGAGGTTTTGATTTTGTTTCATTGCCAATAAAAATTTCAATTTGCTAAAAAAATCAAATGACTCTTCATAAATATAATAATGCGTAAAACTTACATCGTCTGTAACAGCTGCATGTGTTTGCTGTGTTTCTTTACTTGGACTTAATTTACCGTCTTTTTGCGTCAAGTTAATTAATTTACCTAATTTATCATTAACTTATTCCATCAAGTTAAGCAATTTATTGTTGATGGTATCTTGGCTCTGTATGAATTTTGCCAACATCTCGATTATAATTTCTTGTTTGTCTGGAGTTGGTGCTGTTGTTGCTGCTATTGGTGGTGCTGGTTCTCGGATGGCCTAAAAAATTTATTTCGAGTTA